GAGGGTCCTGGAGGTGCTCGTACCGGAGGTTCTCGAGCTGCCGCGGTCCGTGGTGCTGGAGGCACTAGAGCTGGAGAGCCGCGCGTTGGAGTTCGAGACCTTGGAGCTGGAGGTGCTGGCCCTCGAGGTGCTGGCCCCAAGGGTACTGAGTCTTTTGGTGCTGAGCCTAGGGGTGCTAATTCTGCTGGAGGTCCTCCTGGTGACGCATTGTAGTGGTCACCTCTGTTGCCGCGGCAACTGCGCGAGTGGCTTGCTTCGCGCACCCGCCTTCAGAGTCGCGCGGCCGGAGTTGGAGGCACTGGAGCTGGGGGCGCTGGAGCTGGAGACGCTGATTCTGGGGGTACTGCTGCTGGAGGCACTGGAGCTGGGGGACCTGGAGCTGGTGCTGTCGACCCCGGAGTTGGAAACCCTGGAGTTGGAGGTGCCGGTTTCGGGGGTGCTGCTGCTGGGGGCACTGGAGCTGATGGCCCTGGAGCTGGTGATGTCGACCCTGGAGTTGGAGACCCTGGAGCTGGAGGTGCCGGTTTCAGGGATGCTGCTGCTGGAGGCCCTGGAGCTAGAGGCTCTGGAGCTGGTCCTGTCAACCCTGGAGTTAGAGACCCTGGAGCTGGAGGTGCCGGTTCTGGGGGTGCTGCTGCTGGAGGTCTTGGGGCTGGAGGTTCTGGAGCTGCTGGAGGAGCTGGTGCTGATGGTGCTCGTCCTGGAGGTGCTGGAGCTGCCGGAGCTGGTGGCGCTAGAGCTGGAGGCGTTGGAGCTGGAGACCCTGGAGCTGGAGGTACTAGAGATAGAGGTGCTGGAGCTAGAGGCGCTGGAGCTGGAGGTTCTGCTACTGCTGGAGGTGCTGGTGCTAGTGGTACTGGTGCTAGTGGTACTGCACAGCCGCGACTGTTCTTCGCTCCGCCGTCACCATCGTCTCTGCCACTGCCTGACTCCGTGCTTTGCCTGGTTCTTAGCCTCCCGTCTTCTACTGGCCTCCCGTTGCAGCCAGGCTCTCCACTACCCGCTCCTTCTCCTTACACTGAGCAGACAGACTTGCTTACAGAGCGTCGTGAGCCTGCGTCTCGTCCTACCTCACTTGTTCGCGCTGGTCGTCATGTTCCTCGTGAGCGTCCTCCTCGTGTCCTCGGCAAGCACACTATGGCACTGCAACCTTCCTCTGCTCCACAGCGTGTTCCCTTGCCGTCTCCTCCTGCGTCTTCTCTATCTGATGTTTCAGATCCTGAGTCTGACCTGGTTCGTGCTGCTCACCCTACTGTCACGTGTCTACTAGCCGCTATTGTCACTGACCCGTCGTTTGAGTCTCCTGCTGCGTCTGCTTTAGTCAATGCCACGTCTGCCACGTAAGTCCACAGGCACTTACGTCGACGCAGTTCCCCTTCTTGGGGCGAACGTAGTCGGTGGCATGTGGATTTTTAGGGTGAAGCGGCCGCCATGTTCTCCGCCTGTCTTCAAGGCTCGTTACGTTGCACTAGGCTTCAGTCAGCGACAGGGAGTTGACTTCTTCTGGACCTTCTCCCCCACCCCAAAGATGACCACTCTTCGGGTTCTACTGCACGTTGCCGCTCAGCGTGACTACGAGCTCTGGACTTCAGCACATCGTTCTTACAAAGCAGTGTGCACGAGGAGATCTGGCAGCGCTGCCCACTTGGCTTCACTGGGTCGTCCCCTCCTGGTACCCAGTGGAGCTTGCGCCGGCCGGTCTACAGTCTCCGTCACGCGCCTCGCGAGTGGCACGACACACTGAGGACGACACTTGCGGCTATTGGGTTTGCACCTTTTACTGCTGACCCGTCACTGTTTCTGTGCACCAACACTTCGTTGCCGCCGTTCTTCATCCTCATGTACGTCGACGACTTGGTCTTTGCCACTACCGGCACTGAGGTTCTCGCCCTTGTGAAGTCGAAGCTTTAGAAGAGACACACGTGCACAATCCTGGGTGAGCTGTGCAGCTACCTTGGCTTGCAAATCATCCGGGACAGAGCACGCCGCACCATCACACTGACTCAATCACGCATGGTGCAGCAGGTCCTTCAGCGCTTCGGCTTCACTTGGTCCTCGCCATAGTCCACTCCTCTGGCTACAGGTCACTCGCTCTCAGCTCCACCTTCAGACGAGTCCGTAGAGCCGAGTGGCCCGTACCCAGAGCTAGTGGGCTGCCTCATGTACCTGATGACCTGCACTCGTCCTGACCTTGCGTACCCTCTTGGCCTTCTGGCACGCTACGTGGCTCCCAGTAGGCACCGAAAGGTGCACTTCGATGCTGCGAAGAGGGTATTGCGCTACTTGTGCAGTACATCGAGCATAGGGCTCGTGCTTGGAGGGCGGAGTCCAGTTGTCCTCACTGGGCACTCAGACGATTCTTGGGTTGATGACCTGGCTACGCAGCGGTCATCACAGGGTTACACATTCAGCCTGGGCTCTGTCTCTGTTTCTTTGCGGTCTACACGCTCGTCTTCTGTTCTCAGCTCCAGTTGTGAGGCTGAGATCTACGCCACAGCCATGGCTGCACAGGAGTTACGCTGGCTCACCTACTTGCTGACTGACTTGGGAGAGAGGCCTCGTTCTCCTCCAGTTCTGTACGTCGACAACAAGGCTGCCATTGCCTTGTGTCAGGACCACAGACTGGAGCATAGAACGAAGCACATCGCTCTGCGTTTCTTCCTTGCTTGAGTGTTGCAGCAGCGTGGTCAGCTTCGTGTTCCTCACGTGCCCACCCGAGCGAACACGGCTGATGTGTTCACAAAGGCCCTCCCGGCTGGTGATCATCAGCGCTGCACTGCTCTAGTCCTGGTGCCTACGTTTCCTCACTTGTTGTAGACTTTGGTTGTACTGTGATCTATATATGTACATACCTCATGTTTACTCTTGCTAGGTAGTGATCACTGTACTGTTGCGGTTGCATATAAACCTCTGCATGTGAACTGGCCTTGTGGCCCCTTTGCTTGTGCTCGGAGTGTGTGGTGACGTTGTGATCCACCCTGAGCTTGCATTGCTTTTCTTGACTGGTCTTGTAACCCCTTGTTCTCCCCCACTTTGCCTATGGGGGTGTGTCAAACTATATATGTGCTAGTTCTATGTAGGCTATAGTGGGGTAGACCATATGGGGTACAACCCAATGTTAGGGTTAGTACTTGTACCCACAACTCATTCAATGTAGTCTTTCCTGCTTGCTGTCTTGACATACCCTAGTGAGTACAACACTTCAGGGTTTCATACTTGTACTCTTCATCCTGCTCAATGCAACCATTATTGCCTAGTGATCCTGACATTCTATACCACGGCTTGTCGCCCTCCCAATTCCAACCAATGGATGTCATTATCTGGCAACCTCAATTGCCCTCCTCATTTGATCAAATGGTGGTCAGTCCAATGCACGCTCTTTTGCTCATTCCCTCAATGCAACAATTCTTCTCCTTCCCCCTTTCCATCTCCCTAGTTTTCTCATCATTACCGTACTTGCCAAATCCACCTCATACTGTTTGGGTAGAGAGAGTGCACGTGTACAACTGTTTTGTTGATTTATTATGGTACCTTCCTTTCAAATTCCTCCAACCTTCTCATTGCATTCATTCCTTCATATTCTCTGCTGCATGCTCCCTCATGCTTGTCATCACAAAATCCAACCTATCTGTGTTAATGATTCATCTACTCATCTCTTTCCAATCATGGCTTTCCCCAGTCCTCCACTTGTTGCTGCTCCTTTCTGTTTCTCCTACCGTATTAATTCAGTATAACACCCATCGTTTCACACCGTCCCCTCGCACTTCATCCCTCTTTCGCACCTCCATACCAGGGCCCAAGATATCATGGTAAAATGCCCTGATTACCTTGGGGGCATACCTCTTTTCCAGGATTACCCTACCAAAATCAGGATTCCATGAAAGTTATCCTTTTGCAAAAAGAGCATGTTTTTTTTTTTCCCTGATAGAATTTATGGTTAGCCTAACAGTATCAAGGTAGGGTGTAGACTACCCTGATACCGATTTTTTTTTTACAGCGGATCAGGCCATACTCCGCTTGGTGACGAACTGTACCACACCCACACAGAAAAGCGTTGTCGCTTCTTACCACTGGCATAGAACCGAGATTCGTTGTCGGCAACACGCCATGTCGCCTCATTGGTTCACCCAATGAGGCGACACCCAGTTTGTATAAGTAATAGGCAGTGGGGTGGCACTCAGTAGGTGTGTTGTGAATGTGATGCTCTTCCAAAGCGCATAGACATTGTGAGTGCTACTTTATTATGCCCTTGTAAATAACTTAGCTCACAAAATAGTAACTAAAACAGGGTTGGCCTAAAACTACCCTGCTCAAATCAGGCTAGTGGTTGATTTACCCTGCTGCAAATGGGGTACGAAAATGTTTACCCTAGGGGTCGGGGTAAGAAAGGGCTGTAACCCTGATTTGTAAGGGTAGGCCTAAACCAATGTTGGGTATGGAGTCCATACCGTGGTTTTATCTTCCACATGTTGCTGCACACTCTGTTTTGCTATTCATTTCCCCCCTTCTTTACACGCTCTCGCAACCATCTTTGCTGCACTCCTCATAGCTCACAATATAATTTTATCACCACCCTCATCCATTGCTGCCTTAAGTCTATCTCTTGGCTCGCTACCGTACTTCCTCATACGCAGCCAGACTCACATATGCACAGAAGAAACATATGATCCGTGGGATAGCACAACCACTATATTAATGAGGTTGTATTTCATAACGTTCACTACGTTCGGGCACACGGGAAAAAAAGCCGTTACTTTGCTGGTTACAAGAGCCTTCGACGAGATTGCAGGCCCTTTCTTACCACGAGCGCCCTTCAAGTCGACAACCTCCTCTTCATTACTTTCGGCTTCTTGGCCTTCACACCTCCCATTTTACCCCTTGTGCTCCCTCTTCTCCTCTTCCCCTTGCCCACCTCCTTATCCCCTCCTCCTTCCTCCCTTTCCACACCCTCCTCCCCCCCTTGCCGTTCCGCCACCTTCACCGCCATTTTCGTCGGCAAATCAACCTCCGCCATATAGATTGGCAGAGCGAGCAAGTCCGTGGCTCGTATATGCAACGAGCTCACATTCTTCCATTTCTTCGGCACATGCTCCACCGCCCCCGCCACCACCGCCATCACATTCCCCAAAATATCCGCCACTCATGCCGAACCTCGCCGCCCGCACGCTCATCGACGGGCCCCCACTCACATACAAATACGTGCTGTCGCACGCCTCTCGCACACTCTTCGCCCACTCCTTCCCCCGGAGCTTCACAGGGATGGGGTGCTTCTTCTTCTTCAAGAACTTTGTGCCAATAAGGGGGGGCAGCTGGTGGATGATGTCAATATCGGCCAGGAAGAGGTCGTACGAGCCAGGCAGTTGCCGCTTCGCCTCGTACTGCTTGTACTTGGTGCGCAGCTTGGTCAGCCCGATCACCTTGGTGATGCCGGCTGAACCCTGGGGAGTTTGAAAGGTGGTGTGGGGAGGGAGGGAGGGAGAATAGGGCATGTTAAGGGGCTTCGCCTCGTACTGCTTATACTTGGTGCGTAGCTTGGTCAGCCCGATTACCTTGTTGACGCCCGCGGAACCCTGGGGGGATTAAGGAGGGGGGGGGGGGGGGGGGGAGGAGCAATGCATATTTAAGCACTCGGCCTCGTACTGCTTATACTTGGAGCGCAGCTTGGTTGGGTCAATCACCTTGGTGACCCGTGCTGAACCCTGGCGAGTGGTAGGAGGGGGCGGGATAGGAAGAATGAGGCATGGTGAGGAGCTTGGCATCGTACTGCTTGTGATTGTTTGGACCAATCAGCTTTGTGATCCCTGCTTGAATCTGGGAGAGAGACGCAAAGGTGGAAAGGAGTAGCGAAATTAGGGCACGTTACACGATTGGCCTCATACTGCTTGTGCGAAGCTTCGTCACACCTGTGACTTTGGTGTTTCCCGCTGACCAAACGAAAGCCCTGAGCTAGAGCGAAGAGGGGAGGATGTGTGGGGTTGGACAAGATGGGGTAGCATAAGATGGAGTAGGGTAGAATGAGGTGGGGTATGTTTGCTTTTTCTGATGACGTTTGCACACAGTGTAGGTCCGCGCGGGTGCACGCATGTCTGCGTGCATCCGCGTGTGTACGAGCGAGTCTAAAAGAGCTTAAGTGAGTGGTGCGAGCGCTGCTGCGCTGGAGTGCGGCCGACCGTGCTGCGCTGGAGGTCGACCAGCAGCCTAGATAGCACTGATGTAGTATGTGATGCCAATGTTGTTGCTACCTTTATTGTCATGTTTTCCTAGTGAAACTCTTGCCAATTCTCCCCATGAACTAGCAAGCAGCGTGAACACAAGGAAACGACTAAGTGAACGAACGCAAAGATCACACGAGCACACGTGCCTAGCCCGTAGCCTAGCTCTCGTTGCAGCAGTTATCTCCGCATGGTGCGGTGAGCGTGGACAACACCGCGACGTAGTTCAGTCTAGCCGACTTACCGATCGTGTTCGTAGACCGGCAGCCGTGCAGTCACTAGCGTGCGCGTAGGCGACGTCGAGGTGATGGACACCCTGGAGGGACGGCTGGAGGATGCGAGGAGACGCCATGAGGTCCAGGAGTACGGGGCGATACCCTGGGCAGTCGTCGAGGCAGGAATCCACTCCATGTAGGCGGCGGAGCACCCCCCTTCTTGGCCTGCCTCTCCTCGACCGGTGAACGACGATGGCAGCGTCGACGTGGGCGTCAACGCCGGTGGAGGCCAGGTCGGCAGCAGTGCGGGAGACACGTCGAGGCAGCGATGTATGATACACGCCGGTGAAGTCGGCGGCGTTTAGGCGCGAGGGATGCAGTCGTCGGCGGCTGCAGGCTCCTCGCAGGGCGACGCCGGTGGGCGTCGAAGTGGATTTTCGCCGATGTCGGCGACCCAGGTGACGGCGGGCGGGATTGCACCGAGCTACGGCTACTTCAAGATTACGCTGGACAGGATCTCGGTCACCCCGCCGCTCGTTGGTGGACAAGACATCCTCACCTGGAAGGAAGCCATCGAGCCTCAGCTGGAGATGGCCGGGCTGATCGGCTTCGCCCGAGGGACCGTGGCGACGCCGGGGGAGCACCACCCCGACCTGCGTGCGGAGTTTCGCGCCATGCAGTTGTTCACCTTCACGGTCATCTCGCGGTGCTGCTCGCCGGGCGTGCAGATCGCCTTGAAGTGGTGCTAAGAGTACCTCGACGCCGGCCACTAGGCGTGGAACTTCATCGAGTCGACCTATCAAGTCACCGACGACTTGTTCATCGCCCAGCTAGAGGGACAGCTGACGCACTTGCGCATGGGCGACGAGGAGACGGCAACCAACTACTGCAACCGGACCCGGCGAATTCTTGCCACCATCAGGATGGCCGGCGCCCAGTACTCGACGGCGTCGTACGTCACCCACGTCATGCAAGGGCTCTCGAGCAGCTACAACCTCCTGAAGCGGCTGCCCATGGTGCCGAGCACGAGGGCGACGCTCAACGAGGATAACCTGACCTCGTATATCTTGCAGGACGAGGCGATGCAGGAGGCCGAGCGATCCCAGGAGCTCTTGGCGCAGGCCAACTTCGTCGCCCCGACGAAGCAAGGAGGCCGACCAGGGCAGCGTGGGCAGTCGGGCGGCAGCGGTAGCACTGGCTGGAAGCCGAGCAAGGACGCCGACAAGAAGAAGTCGGCCAAGGATAGCGGTCGGGGAGGAGGAAGTCGCCGCTGGGAGTGCAGGATCTGCCACAGATCCGACCACCTCTCCTTCGAGTGTCCCGACCGCAGCGATACCGACGACGACGACGCTAAGGGAGGTCGCGGGAGGTCGGCCAGCCGTCGTCCACGTCAAGGAAACAAGCCGCGCAAGGAGAAGCAGTCGAGCAAGTCGGCCTCGGCGACGGACGCCGACTCCTCTGCAGGCGGCAAGGGGCGAGACGACAAGGCGGCGTCGTGCTCGCTGGTCGGCGTCGTGGAGCCGACCATCTCACTGGCGCCGGAGGCCGGTGAGGACTTCCAGGCGGTAGCAGCAGCTATGCAGGCAAACCCAGCGGTGGTCCTGCTCGACAGCGGCTGCTCGCACCACCTGATGGGGACGAAGGAGGCCTTCGTCGACTTGGGGCCGAGCGGCGACGTGAAGCACGTGCGCGGCTTCAATGGGGCGCTCCAGGACGTTAAGGGCCGCGACATTGTCGCTCTGCAAGGGGAGGCCGGGAAGCAGGTGCTCATCCCCGATGTGCTACGTACCCGGCGTCCGGGCAAACCTGCTTTCAGCCGGCCAGCTGAAGGAGCACGGCGTGAAGTTGCAGGAGGACGGCGACGGGATGCTGCTCGTCTCGGCAGCAGGGGAGGTGCTTGGTCGGGCGACGTACACCGAGCGTGTCCTCTACACCGACCTGCGCCCTTGCTCGGCCACGCCGACAACGCCTACCACGGAGGTAATGGCCCTGCGCGCGATCGTCTCGGCGACAAAGGCAACGCCGGACAGGATGCACGCAAGGCTTGCGCACGTCGGCCTAGACACCATCCGGAGCTCAGCGGAGCACGAGGTCGCCACCGAGCTGGACCTCAAGTCGGCGTCAGACGCCGACTCCCCGTGTATTTCGTGCGTTAGCGGGAAGCTAACGCGGCACACCTTCCCCGACAAAGGCTCCGACGCCGACGACGTGCTGGCCGTCATGCACATCGACCTGTGCAGGCCGTTCGGCGTGGCTGCCAAGGATGGCATCCTGTACTTCTTGCTGCTGAAGGACCGCAAGACCCGCTACATGTGGGTGAAGCCGGTCACCAAGAAGTCAGATGCGTTGCCGGTGTTCGTGCAATGGCTGGCGGTGGCTGAGCGGCAGACGAAGAAGTCGGTGTTGATGCTGCGCTCTGACCGGGGAGGGGAGTTCCTCGGGAAGCAGTTCACCGACTTCGTGAATGGCAAGGGGATCATCCACGACCTGACCTGCCCATACACCCCGCAGCAGAATGGCATGGCGGAGCGGGAGATGAGGACGGTGGTGGAGTTGGTGCGGACAATGCTGCTGCACATGGGCGTGCAACACCATTGGTGGCACCTCGCTCTCCGACAAGCCGTCTGGGTCTGCGCTGCCGCCGGAGACGACGGCGTACCAGCTGCTAACCGGGAAGAAGCCCGACTTGTCGCTGGCGCGGGTGTGGGGCTGCATGGCGCAGTTCTTAGTCCCTAAGCAGCAGCGTGGTGGGAAGCTGCAGCCGAAGGCACGGTGGGGCCTTGACCTCGGCGTGTCGGAGGAGAGCAAGGGCTGGGAGCTCCTCGACATCTCCGACAACCGGGTGGTCACCACGTCGGACGTGGTGTTCTATAAGAGCATGTCGCTGGACATGTGGTAGTCGGCGCACAGGCCGGTGTCAGGGCGGATGCCGGTTCACCCGCCAACGGACACCTCGATGGCGTCGGTGCCTCTGCTCGCCGAGTTCAGTATGCTTGGTGGTGAGGACGCCGAGGACGTCCCCGGTCCCTACCCTTCACATGCCCCTCCCTGGACGCCGACTTGCATGGGCTGACCCCGACGTCGGCCTTCGGTGATGAGGGGAGACGTGGGGCGTCACCTGTGGCGCCGGCCCCAAGCATCGCCGGTGGCCGACGTGATGCTGTGCAAGTCGGTGTGGGAGCGAAGCTAACGCCGACTGGGAGGCAGCAGGTGGTGCAGACGCCTTTGGTGAAACCGGTAAAGGAGGCGCCTGCAGAAAAGCAGCTGACAAGGGAGCAGGCAGTCGCGACGCCGACCAATGAGCAGTCGGCGACTGGGTCGTCGGCAGGAGAGTCGACCATAGAGGAGAAGTCGGCTGGGACGCCGACCATAGGGGAGAAGTCGGCTGGGACGCCGGCTGAGGAGCAGCAGGATGCCAAGGGCAGAGACGACGGCGACGATGGAGGGGACGCCAAGGAGGTCCAGTCGGGACCACGGCGTTTAGGCCGACTTTGGAGGCCGCCTGACTTCTTCGTCCCCGCTACCTTCACCACGGTTTACGACGTCGACGATGATGACCTGCTGTACGACGACGCCGAGGAGGATAAGGAGTTTCTAGAGCTCGACCCCGACATGCTAGCCGACCCCGAGCACCATTGGGACATCTCGACGATGACGGTGAAGGAGGCGTTGGCGAGCTGGAAGGGCCCGGCGGTGAAGGCTGCCATGGAGGAGGAGATTCGCAGCCTCCTCAACATGGGAACGTGGGAGCTGGTCGAACGCCCGCCGGGAGTGAACATCATGAAGAACCGGTGGGTGTTGACGACAAAGAACCACATCGACGACACCGTCGAGCAAGAGAAGGCGAGGCTGGTCGTGAAGGGCTTCACGCAGGTGTACGGCGCCGACTACGACGAGATGTTCGCGCCGGTGGGCAAATACGTCACGCTGAGGATCTTCCTCAGCATCGTCGCCGTCCTCAACCTCAACCTGATGCAGCTCGACATGAAGAACGCGTTCCTGCAGAGCAAGCTGGACCGGGTGCTGTACATGCACCAGCCGGACTACTTCAACGACGGATCCAGCCGGGTGTGCAGGCTGCTGAAGTGCCTATATGGGCTGAAGCAGTCGCTGCTGCTGTGGTACTTGGCGCTCAACAATGTGCTGGTCGGCGCCGGGTGGAAGAAGAGCCAGGTCGACGAGGCTCTTTACTTCAAGGTCGGCAAGGACGGAGTGGCCTACTGGGTGCTGGTCTGCGTTGACGACCTGCTTGCCGCCAGCACCAGCGCCGAGATGCTGACAGAAGCTAAAGGAGCTGCTGGAAGCCGCCTTCGAGCTGCACGAGATCTCGCC